TCTTTCCCTTGTTTGTTAATTTCCTTAACCCCCTTTCTGAAGAAAATCATGGCTCCACGAGGTCCACGAAGCGACTTGTGAGTCGTGGTAGTGACGACATCAGCATAATCAAAAGGCGATGGAATGACATCAGCTGCAACCAGACCACTGATGTGTGCCATATCCGCCAGCATAATAGCCTTTTGCTTGTCACAGACCTGAAAAGATTTCACAGTTCATAATTACATTTCAGAGTTCATAATTACGCCACATCACTGATCAGTTTTTTCGTGGATTAGTTAAGGAGATTACCTTTCGGATGCGGTCATAATCATACAACCGGGCATAAGCACTCGCACCAGCAACTATCAACTTTGGCCTGAAGAGAGTAGCGCTTTTCTCCAACTGGAGATGTATAAAGTTTACAAGAGTTGTACACTATTAGATAATTTGTCAAATAATGATGGAGATACTGCATAATAGCATCCTCTATTAGGAACAAGCACCTGATCGTAGTCAATGTAGCCAGTGCTTTCATCTAATCTGTATGGCATGGTCTCAAAAAAAATCGAAACAGCGGATATCTTCTTGGTGTCCGTCTGAGCAGAAGAAAAAGGAAAGAAATGGATTGAGTGGGATATCTTCTTAGATGTCGAAGGCAATTCAGAACAATACAAACTGGTATAGACAAAGATCATAATTTACAGGATGCAGATACCTGATAACCATGAGAAAGATGACCACCGTGAGGAAGATCAAGAGCCATGATTCTTTCGTGAGGCTTTAACAATGCAGTGTACACATGGAAATTAGACGGAGATCCAGAGAGAGGTTGCACATTCACTGTAACAGAGGATTGAACAAGAGCCATCAGAAGGAACAATAAAGTAGACACATGTTATCAGAACTACAACCTTCTCTTTCAATACCATCTTAATTCAGAATTCATGTGTCTCGTAATGTATAGAACAATTAGTTACCTCCCCACTTTTCAGGATCCAACCGAAAAGCTTCCAAAGCTCGTTTCTGGCACAAGGTCTCCGCCATGTCTATGTACCTTTTACAAAAAACAAGCTTCTTAAGGTAAGTGTCTGGTTAATTCACAAGAATGAGGGATACCAAGCAACTAAAACTGAAATTCTAGGCCCATGCCCGATGCAACTCAAGGGATTGAAATTTCTGACATACTCATTTCCTCCATAGTATCTGGCGCCAGGATATCCTTCACTGTACTTGTTGGTCATGACAGATCCAACAGCTTGCATCACTGACACTGAGGTGAAGTTCTCAGATGGGATGAGTTCAAGCCCCTTCAGACAGATCACATAAACATCAGTCCTCTAATACTCGAAGGAACAACAATAACTGGACACAATGTTGAAAAGTTACTGGATAACTTAATATTTCATCAGAAAAGCTACAGATTTTGAGGTATATAAGTTTACCCTGCCCTTTTTGTTTCTCCACTCTGTTCCCAATCCCCCCACCCACCCCCCCAAAAAAAAAACGTTTGCAGAATCAGTATGTTGAGTTCGAGAGATTGGATTAAAGGCATGAAGGTGTTTGCAGCTAAAAGTTTGTACCATTTTGGTTTATCCAAATCTAGGAATTCTGTGTGGCGAAAGAGACTACCTTCCATTGCCTAGCTTTCTCGAGCTCGATAATATCAGCAATCTCAGGATCGACGACCTCCAGAGGTGCATTAAGCTGCTTCGGCCACTGCAACAGTTACAGAGAGAGTATAATATGAATTAGACAGGACAACCAATCACTTCATTACTTCATTACTTCATTACTTCAACCGCAAGCAAACTAACACAAACAGAGGGGAAAAAAGATTTAAAGGACAATACAACAAGAAGATCAAGCTCACAGTGACACGAGACTTCTCCTTTTCATCCACAGCTTCACTCGGCAGAGATGACTGTAAGAACAACATCAATCGAAAATCAGACAGAAAAACAAAAGCAAAAAGCAATAATCGCCATTACAGACAAACAAGATCGAATCGAAACGATTATAAAAAAAAAAAAGATCGAATCGAAACATCAGAAGAAGCGAAGAAGGAGAGAGACGAACCATGCAGCAGACGGAGGCATTGAGAATAGGACGAATTGGCTTGTCAATAGAAGAGGAGAGCCTCCGAAGAGCCATCGCCATCGCCATTTTCGGTTCACCTCTCTCCTTCTCCGCGTTGAAACCCTAGAAAACTGAAAGAGATCATCGGAAGTAGCTTTAGATGTTATCGCTTCGGAGTTGCGACGAGAGATTCTGGCCTCTGGTTATGGCTGAGCTTTTGGTGGCTGCAGAAAATTTTCGAATTTCATTTCAGTTTCCCCTATTTTTTTCCCTTTAATTTTTTTATTTATTCAATATTTTTGGTAATTTTGTCGTTTTCTCAGAGCCTCTCTCTGAAGATTGTCTGTCTGTCTGGCTCGATGAATCCATGACGATAACGTCGACACGTGGACACGTTGGTGTGGGCCCCACTCGAATTTTGCTTAAGAACAATAGATCCGCCTAATAGTTAATTTTATATTATACATCGGTGTAAAATCACGGTTGAAAAGCATGTAAATATTGTCAAATGGCCCAGAGTTGTAATATCACTTATAGATGTAAAATCGGGCATGCGATATCAGACTGAATGGTACAAGATTAATAACAAAAAATTATTCAAATACATTCAACTCAAACACATTACTTATATTTAATTAGAGAGTCAATTTTATTCCGAGATCCAAAGACATCCAACCCAATCCCAAAAATAGTGGGTTTCGGATTGAGATATTTAGTCTCGAAAATTTTTGGATTTTCGGATCAGACTCAGATCGAGTTTCGAATTGGTCCAAAAGTCCGATTTTTTTTCAAAAAAATAACAAAAAATAGAATAAAAATAATTTCAAAGAACAAATTTAACCACCGGTACGAACCCAAATCTAAAGTCTATAGGACCAGACTTCTGGTTTAGTTATTTAGAGCAAAAAAATTTTGGACCGTCAAACCGAAATACTCGGATCGAATGCGGGTCCGGGCTGGACCGACCCGATTTACACCCTACTTATATTTGTAGCCAGAGCAATGTCGGCCCAGACTATCAATATGATCCGATTTCTGCAAAAATATACACACGCTCACGAACTTCCAAGCAAATTGAAGAACACAAACCGTACAAATGTTTGGCGAAAACATTTACACGTCGACATACGACAACTAATTTTGCAAAAGTATATACTTCAAATCGACAGAAAATGAATTTAACTTCTTGGTTCTTGTTTTCCCACACTTTTTTTTTTTTTTTGCGAAGAGATTTTTTGTATGTTTCTTCGACAAAAGGTTTATTAACTTAGTTTTTTTATTTTATACTTGGGATCGTGAAGGAGTGTCGTACGTGGACCGCTCAGGTTGGCATAGCTGCAGACGAACCTCTGCGTCTGGTTCCTCGTCTTTGTCGTCTGGTTCATGTTGTGAAAACCCATTTTTGTTCAATGCATAAACCTGCATGCAAGAGACGATACTTGCGCTTTTATATACTCACATTTTCAACTTTTTTTGCTTACAAGGATAATTAGTCATGAAGTAATTGTATCATATGTATACATATATATGTATATGTATATGTATATATGTATGCGTGTCTGTACCTTTTTGTGTAGCTCGACGTTTTCTTGATGAATGCGTTGTACCTCACTCGACAACTCGATGTTCTCCTGATGAATAAGATTTCTCTGCAACATTAGAAAATAGGGTTTAGATTCCATCTGACTTTTCTCTTTAATGGATGATCGTCTATAAGAAATCGTGTATATATATATACACGTATATATATATATATATGATTTTTATGTTTCAGACCTTTCGGTTCAACTCTTGGATTTCATCATTCAGCATTTCTTCCTGCAAGATTCAAGAAAAGAAATCAATTTTCCAAATCTTTAATTAAGAAACTTGCTTAGATTAAAATACGAACACACACACACATACATACATACATACATACATACATATATGTATATACCTTTTTTGTACGGATCCCACGCAAACTCATCTCAAGCTGATTCTCTATATTTCGCAAATCTTTGATGCTCAAACCATTTAGTTGCTCTCCCATCAACTGCCTGTCTCCATTAGGAATTAATTAAGGTCATAATAAAAGGGAGTTATAAAATTCGTGATTAATTCTCCATTTTCATAAGTTCTTGATTGATAACTTCACCATATAATATAACTATTCCAAGAGAAATGGGCATGCATGTTTGCTGAAAAACATATCTACGTATGACCACTTCTGTGTCTGTGTTCCAATTACTTTGGTGGCATAATGAAGTGTCACTACAAAAAAAATGCTCATTTTCAACGGGTAAATCCGTTGGAAATGGCCAAATTTCCGTTGGAAATTAACGTTTCCAACGGATTTATCCGTTGGAATTTCGTCATTAGAAATCGGTGTCCGTTGGAAAACCGTTGGAATTTTCAACGGAATTGCAACGAATTTTTCTTCCAACGGATTTCCAACCGGCATTCGTTGGAATTTTCCAACGGATTTCCAACCGCAATCCGTTAGAATTTTCCAACGGAATTTCCAACCGATATCCGTTAGAATTTTCCAACGGAATTTTCAACCGCATTCCGTTGGAATTTTCCAACGAAAAATTCGAAACATATTCTCGACCCGACCCGACCCGACCCGACATCGACACCAATCCGATCCGACCAAACCACGATCCTGAAACTCACTTCCCAGTAGGTCACCCATCCTTCCACTGCCTAAAATCAATCCTCCTTAACCCTAGAGTTCCAATTAGAACTCTTCCAACTCCTCCAAGTTAAACTTCTGATATCATATAACATTAATATATATACATATATAAATATTTATACATATTTACATATTTACATATATA